TTTCATTAAAACTTGTGCAGTATAGGGAACTCCATTGATTCTCTCAATTTGAAGAAAGTTAGAGGGAAAGGTATTAATTCAGAGTTCCTTGGGAAAATGTATCACTTATATATTTTTTATGTTTATTTTTTTAAATCAAAAACTGAAATATTTTCTATTCAGAAAATATACTTGGATCTAAATATCTTCTATAATTTTAACCTTAAAATATCAATTTAAATATTTTAAAAATGGTTGGGATGTTTGTTTTTTTTAAATAAGTTAGGTTACTGGAGTTCTACATGTTACTGGATCACCTGGGGTAATTTTCTGATTGGAAAATTAAGAATTATAGTCAGAGGGGAGGACATGAGAATTTTTAAAGAACATATTCAATTTACTTTAGAAGCCGAACCTCTCTTATCATGTGACTTGTTTTGTATGTTTGTTAAACTATATTATCACATAAGCATTGCTGCTATTGGGACAAACAGTGACAGTTGATTCGGGTCATTTGAATGTCCACTGTCTGTTTTAATTTGTATGGTCATTTTGACTCTGTCATATGTTCAAACTTCAGTGGAAGTCATGAGAACCTATTATTTTTGCCTGCTCCCTCCTTTACGTTGGAAATATTCTTTTTTACTCAGAGGGACCTTAACTTTGATGTAAGGGATTGTTTCCGTTGCCAACTGTTTTCTTCCTTGCCAAGTAAGAGAGTTGTTGTGAACTCTGCAGTGATGCTTTCCCCAGGATATTTGCAGATGTGGTTGGGAAAAGTCATTTCATCCCCGACCTTTGCATGTCAGGTGCTGGGGTGCCGGGGTGCCGCCTGGCCTGTGCCCCGGCTCTCTCTCCCTCCGATTGCCATGGTGACCACAGGACACAGGCCAGGCGGCACCCCCGCGACTCTTGCCTACTGCCTGGGTTTCCGATCACTGTTCTTCCATCCTTCTCCTTTCGCCTCCCATCATTGTGCCCACGTATGCAAATTAACCACCATCTTTGTTGGCAGTTAATTTGCATATTGCCCTAATTAGCCAATGGGAAGCGTAGCGGAGGTACGGTTAATTACCCTTTTTGTCTTTTATTAGATAGGACTAGAGACCCGGTGCATGAAAATTTGTGCACTGGTTGTGGGGGGGGCGGGGTGGCCGGGTTCCCTCAGCCTGGCCTGGCCCCTCTCACAGTCCAGGAGCTATCAGGGGATTCCTACTGATGGTTTAGGCCTGCTCTCAATGGGGAGCGGGCCTAAGCCACAGTCTGGCCTCCCTCTGTGGGAGGCGACTGGGCTGATCAGGGGAAGGTGCCGCCCCCATCACCCCGCTGCTGCTGCCACTGCCGGCCATGGTGGCTCACAGCTGCCGGGGCTCTGGACTGCCTGAGCCCAAGGCCTTGCAGTCGCCGGGGTTCAAGGCTGCCTGAGCCCTGGGCCTCGCAGCCGCTGTGGCTTTGTCTGGATGGACGTCTGGAAGACGTCCACCCTAATTAGCATTTACCCTTTTATTAGTATAGACTAGAGGCCTAGTGCATGAAAATTCACCCCGGCCTGCGCCCTCTCACAGTCCAGGAGCCTTCAGGGGATGTCCTACTGATGGCTTAGGCCTACTCCCTGGAGCAGGCCTAAGCCACAGTCTGGTCTCCCTCTGCAGGAGATGACTGCGTGGCCGATCAGGGGATGGCGCCGCCCCCATCACCCCATCCCTGCTGTTGCTGCCAGCCTCCCTCTGCGGGAGGCGACCAGGTGGCTGATCAGGGGATGATGGTGCTGGCCAGCATGGCCCCGCCCCCCCCAATCCCCCTCTGCCAACCCTGGTTGCTGCTGCCTCCCCCCTTCACTGTTCCCTCCCTCTGCCTGCTGGCACATGCCTTGGCTGGACTGCTGCCACCTGCTTGCTGGCCCTGCCCCCCACCAACTTGTCAATTTGCATATTACGCTTTTATTATATAGGAGGATTCCTTATGCAATACCTTACATCCCCATGACTGTTTTTACAATTGCCAATTTGTACTTCTTAATCTCTTCACCCTTTTCACCAATCCCCCCAGCCCTCTTCCCACCTGGCAACCATCAATTTGTTCTCTGCATCTATGAGTTTGTTTCTGTTTTGTTTGGTCATTTGTTTCTTAGATTCCACATGTAAGTGAAATCACATGGTATTTGTCTTTCTCTGTCTGACTTATTTCACTTAGCATAATGCCCTCTAGGTCCATTCATATTGTTGCAAGTAGCAAGATTTCATTTTTAAAAAAAATATTTTTTAAATCTTCACCTGAGGATATGTTTATTGATTTTAGAGAAAGGGGAAGAGAAAGGCAGAGAGAGAGAAAAACATCATTGTGAGAGCAAAACATTGATTGGTTGCCTCCTGTACGCACCCGGACTGGGGATCAAATCTGAAACTTAGGTATGTACCCTGACCGGGATTGAACCCATAACCTGTCAGTGTATGACAGGGGTCCTCAAACTTTTTAAACAGGGGGCCAGTTCACTGTCCCTCAGACCGTTGGAGGGCCAGACTATAGTTTAAAAAAAAACTCTGAACAAATTCCTGCACACTGCACATATCTTATTTTGAAGTAAAAAAACAAAACGGGAACAAATACAATATTTGTATTTGCATGTGGCCCGCGGGCCGTAGTTTGAGGACCCCTGGTTTAGGGCTTAATTCTATTCTGTATCGAGGTTGCCTTTCCTTCGCCTCACTCCCCACTAAGCCCCATTCCCCCGCCTTCCTGGCAGAGGCCCTCTGGCCAGTGCCCGGGGTCCCCGCCGGGCCCTCACCGTGCCCAATAGCCTTGATCTCCACGGTCTTGGGGATCTTCTCCTCGCGGTTCCAGCTGGAGGCCTTGCGGCTCACTTGCGATTTGAAGAGCGTGTTGACCAGCGTTGACTTGCCCAGTCCACTCTGACCTGAGCAAGACAGGGGGATGAGAAGGCAGGGCCCCCATGGCCCGTCCTGAGCCCGATTAGCTCTCCCAGGCGCTTGCAGAATTCTGGAGCTG